GCCTGCCAAACCATTTCCAATAGTCCCTCCAGTTTCATCTGCAATCGCTGTGACATCAAGGGTGTGCGCATCCGTATCTGTTGCTTCTTCTCTAGGGACAGCTGCACCTCTTGCAGTCCCCCCAGCAACAGTGGAGTGCTCATCCCTGTCCACTGTGCCTGTCACAGGTGTGGCAACATTTTGTGTAAGCATAGGATTAGGCGACTCAGCACCACCACGGGGGTTGTTGTGCTGTGTGCAGAATACATGATCTCCAAGATTACTGCTGTCAGGAATTTGCATCTGAGGGTCAATTTCTACTTGCAACTCATTTAGGTCAATCATCTCCACCGCTGCACACACCAAGTTGACGAAGCAAGTTAGGTGAATCAAGTAAGCATCCAGCACACAGAGTGTACGCAAGAAATTTAATAAGAGACAACATTTAGCTTGATGCAATTTTCTTTTTTACCAGAGCGTTGCTACAAAATACAGTAAGCATACGTGCATGAAAAACCAAACACAAGTCGCTCTTTCTCTACACATGTTTTCATTTATTTGGGCACAATATATCAACAGTAGTTTCTTACAACATAGGTATTTTTTCCGTGATGTAATTTTTTTGTTTTCTAAATGTTCACAGGAGAGCAACAGTTCACCATGTGATTCAAGGTTTTGGTGAAGCAAGGCGCATGGAAAAGATTATTTCTTCATCGAAGTGCATCTTTTTAGCTTTTGGGAAACTTGTGTCAACATGACTGATATCGAGAGTAGATTGTTATATGTTCTAGTTTTTAGGAGTAGTCAAGGGTGATGCACTCTTTGTGTTCAAATAACTTTACTTTTTAGTTGCTTTGTATTGGGAGGAACAGAACACTTATCTTCTATGCACAAGACCGTTTTCACTTGCTATTTTCCTTTTGTCTTTCTGTTTCCATATGATCCTTCTTTGCAGAATCATTATTAGGCAATTAATATGGTCATTACATTTTTTTTCAAAATGCAACTGGAGCATCCTACTATTCATAACATGTCCATGTTTAAAGCAGGAAATAACGTTCAACCATTTTTCCTTGAAGGTAATGTTCGCTACTAGGCAGTTTTTTTATTCATTCATTTTTTCTTTTTGTAGTAATATGCAGTATCTCGTATGAGTTGCTTAGGATATTCAGTAGATGCTCAAAACAGTGTTGCTTTAAGTATAGTAGTTGACAACAATCATGTTAGTTCTTTTTTTGAAATTATCATGTTAGTTGCTTCAGATAACCAACGGTAGTTGCTTGAAATAAGCATCCCAATAAGAAGGGTTTTAATATCTCCCCCAACACTTTTAGCTTATAACAGTATCAACAGTTTATCTTCTTGAAACCAACAAAGTTCTTTTTTGCCTTAAAAACCATAGCATTTACTTCAAAGGAACATAGCTTTTGCCTAAAGTAAGTAAGGTAGTTGCTCGGAACAAGGGGTTTCACTAATGTTGCAGACCACCTAAAATGTTTCATGAAACAAAGCTATCCTAGCCCTGTTTGTCAATCACAGTTTTTCGTTGCTTGAAATAACATCACAATTTGCTCTCAAAATCAACATAATTTGCTTAAAGACGTGTTTCCAAATTCTAGCAATTTTTAAGATAAATAACCACAGTAGATCAACAATAGCTACAAATTATCCTCTTGAGACCAGCAGAGTTCTTTTTTGCCTTAAAAATCATATCATTTGCTTAAAAGGAACATAGCTTTTGCCTAAAGTAAGTAAGGTAGTTGCTCAGAACAAGGGGGCTTCACTAATGTTGCAGACCACATAAAAGGATTCATAAAACAAAGCTATCATAGCCCTGTTTGTCAATCACAGTTTTTCGTTGCTTGAAATAACCTCACAATTTGTTATCAAAATCAACAAAATTTGCTTAAAGATGTGTTTCTAAATTCTAGGAATTTTTGGGATAAAAATAAGGGCAAAAATAACCACAGTGGATCAACAATAGCTATAGTTTATCTTCTTGAAACCAATATAGTTCTTTTTTGCCTTAAAAACCATGGCATTTGCTTAAAAGGAACATAGCTTTTGCCTAAAGTAAGTAAGGTATTTGCTCAGAACAAGGGGTTTCACTAATGTTGCAGACCACCTAAAAGGTTTCATGAAACAAAGCTATCCTAGCCCTGTTTGTCAATCATAGTTTTTCGTTGCTTGAAATAACATCACAATTTGCTCTCAAAATCAATAGAATTTGCTCAAATATCTGTTCCTAGATCATAGCAATTTTTGGGATAAAAATAACCACAGAAAATCTCTTTTTTGGACTAGCACTCATGAAAAAGAAGTTGTAGCACAATATAGATGAGTATATGAAGTCTTTTTGTATAAAACTGACCAAAATAATCCAAAAAATCCAGGAAGAATCTACAAGGACAGGAGTAGGTACTTTGGCAAATCCCAGGCAAATTATATGGAAGAGCTGGGCAAACCTGATCTCCTTGTGTGTCCTTGCTTAGTATTTTCTTTCAGTTTTTGTCAATTTTCTTTGACTGACAACCCCCCTATGTCGCCATTGCAAGGTGAACCGAGGTCTCTAGATCTGGGAAACGAGGCTTGGGGGAGAAGAAGATGGGATTCATGGGTGGTTTGCTCAGGAGAAGGGAACGGCTACGGGGGGACCAAGTGGAGTTGGCTTGCGGGGAGGGTGGGCATGCAATTCGCGTGATACAGTGGTGGACAGGTGGGTTTCCTTTTTCGCGCGGGGGGAGGGACCAAAACCTTCCTTTTATGGCCGACTGTCAGGGAATACTAGGGAGCACCCGGCCACTCCCTAGCCACGTCCTTATTCTTTTTTTCTCTCTCCATCCCACTAATCAAATGCAGTTGACCAGACAATTCGGAAACAAAGTAAGGGACATAGTTGCATGCATGCACAAATGGAGGCTCAAAATAGACCCGCCCGGTCTTTGTCCAAACGCGTCCGCGGATATTTCAGGGGTCATATTTGGTTACTGTAGATACTCTGACACCGATAAATACCAAATTCAGTTTTCAGGAGAATACCTTAGGTGCAAAGTTGTCAGGGGTCATATTTGGTTACTGTAGATACTCTGACACCGATAAATACCAAATTCAGTTTTCAGGAGAATACCTTAGGTGCAAAGTTGTCAAAATCCCCTTAATAAAAATCCAAAAAAGAAGATGATGGAATCAAACCTCAACACCTTTACCCTCCGCACGTTATAGCAATTGCGAATTGCGATTGCGGCGCACCACACGACCACAACAACCCCTCTTCCTCCTCCCTCTCTCTTCGCACTAACCAATCCGAGTACAACTCGCCGTACTCGCACGCACACATAGGCAGATCCAATCCGACTGTACAAAAGCGCCGCCGTCCGCCGCTCACGTGGAAGAGGGAGAGGGAGCAGCGGAGAGGAGAAGGTAACACTAGCTTCTTCTTCTTCTTCTTCTTCTTCTTCTTCTTCTTCTTGGTTATCGTCTCCTTCCCTTAGTTAGATTTAGTTTTGCGGTTTCATGATCTCTGCTCTATCATACATGCTAGATAGATACGCGCTGTTTCTCGGTTCGTCTGGCCGTGCCCCGTTCTTGATTTCAGTTGCGGATTCCCGTTCCTTGATTTGGTTTCCTCGAAGCAAAGAACACTGGAAGGATCCATATCGAATTGGATTCGACACGAATCTATGGCCTGGCTACTCGAATCTAATCGCGTTGTAGTGGAAGCTAGCTGTACGGTGGCTTAATGGAATAGAATTGCGACGCTGTTTTCTCTTGACTTAATCCCAGATATTAAAAAATAGCTGCACTGAGCATAATACTACTACTCCTTCCCACCATCGTTACCAGATTTTTTAGATTGGAAAGGCTCATTAATAATGATTAGCAGTGCAAAAGTTGTATCTTTCAGCTGTAAAATACAGTGAAAGGACATTGACGTGTCAGTTTCTGTCTCGTGCAAATCGTGACATGGGAACGGGGATACAGGGAAAAGTGCCCTTCGCTTGCTTCCCCCCTCACGGGAGGAGAGACAGTGTGGTGTGGAGGGACTTCTGGGGTTGAGGTGTAGGATCTCTCAAATCTCAATAATTGTGATCGGAATCAGTGACATCAAGAACCCTTTCGGTTTGGATCTTGTCCTTTTTGTTACAACTTGTAAAGTACTAGTATATATTGGCGATAATTGTGGAGTCTATCAACTTAGGTTTGCTTGGACTTGTTATAATCTCAATCGAACAGCAGTGGTATGCATATGCTTTGTTCTTGCATGGAACTGAATATTTTGTACTTGTCTTCAGTTTCAGTTGAATGTAGGCCCTGATGATTAAGGAATGATTCTCCTTTGGTACTACCTCTGTTCACTAATGTAGGACGTTTTCGCAGTTCAATTTAAACTGCAAAAACTTCCTACATTAGTGAACAGAGGGTATAGTTGTGTACATCAACAATTAATGGTTGCTTTTGGACTCAAAGTTAACTGCAAATAGTTCGGCCTTTTGCTGTATATATTACTCCCTCCATACCAAAATATAAAAGATGTCTTATATTTTGGTACAGAGGTAGTATATGCTTAACATGCTAAAACCATACGCAATGGAACATTTCAAGTCAAGATTTCACGTGTTAGTGTATTATGCGTGCCAGATTGCTCACACTCTTCTTGTTTCTGCAGGACTTCCACGACTATATGCAACCTCCTGGAACAGTCTAGTTCCTAAATCCTTCTTCCATTCTGGCAGATATCAAGAGATCATTCAGGTCTCGCACCTCTGAGTGGGTGTGGATTTGCAACAATTCTGCGATCAACTTATCGCTGCCTCTTGGAGTAATCCCATCATACATCTGGAGATTACGGCGAGCACTGGAGGGACTTTTTGTTGATTACGGTTAATTGAGGAAAGCAGCTGAGATGTAACAATTTTTTTGAGCTGAGCTCTCTTCCAAGACAGGCCTGTGATTTAGCAATGTGATTGGATCAACTCTGTTTTTGGATCTGGTGTTAGCTCAGTTGACACTAGAGTTGACTTATGGTTAGGTTTTTCTGTTTTTCATCCTCTACTACACAACAGAAACCGAAGGTATGGAAAATAGCTGATGTATTTTGAATAATTTCCAATTGTATTCTTTGTTTGAGCTGACAACTAATAGTTTCCCAAATATCTTTGTTCCCCTTTTGTACTTTAGGAGGCCTTTCTGCTAGCAGATAAGACCATGCTTACTGTTTCAAAGAAAGATTCTCAGGAACAAACAGTGAAGTTCACTACTGGATCAGTGGGCCCGAAGCAGATGGCGGATGAAAATAACCATTCAGTTGCTAGTGGGCAGTATGATATTAACTCATCATCTCACCAAGAATGCTGGAGATCTGATGAATGGAATAGACATGCATGCTCTGATGATGACAAAGAGGAGAAAGTTGGGCACCTACAGAAGAGCCAGTCTCTTGGGAACATGCTTCAAGAGGATTGTGATCATCATGGCAGTGAAGGTACTGAGTGTGACATTACAGACCATGATTACAGAAGCCATTGCTCTGGTTTCAAGAGCAATACAGATGTTGAAGAATCCACTAGGTTAGGCAGCAAGAACAACGAGAATGTTTTTGATGCCTCATCTGACCTGATCAGTCATGGTGTTTATGAACCTTCAGTTGATCATGCCGCTGATTCTGACAGGCATCACTCTTATGACCACAGCAAATTTCCAAGGTCACAATCTGCTATATTTCAGAATAATTCTGATAGTGACCGAGAAGGTTCTGTTGATTCTGAGAGACTAGGCCCCCGTTGCAGATCTTTTGAGGATTTATGTTCAATGGACGGTGAAAAGGTTGATTACTTGAGTGGTGATGAAACAAATCGCTCGAAATCAAATTTGCCTGTGCTTTGTGCTGGACCTTCTTCGCCAGGTATCTCTGAATTATTAGACTTGGAGAATGGTTCAGGAGGTCGCTCTGATGCTGCTGAAGATGGCCAACGGTCCTCTGCAAGTGTAGATGGGAAGTTTGTGAGGGATGGGATGATAAGTCATGACTACTGGGATGGCAAATATATTGCTGCTGATAATTCAGCTCATCCAGTTGCCACTTGCTTTGGGGATTCAGGGCATTATTGTGTCATCAATGGTGCTTTAAATCAAGAGAGGGAAGAGAAATTGTGGAACAGAAATAGCGGTCTCGACCAGGAGTCACTTGGCATTGACATGCCTAATTTGAAGAACCCGTCTGACTCGAAGGATATTAGTGAGGAAGCTGAACACAATGAAACTGAAATGAATGGTGATCAGCATTTTGACGAGGACTCAAATGAACTTAGTCCAAGAGCTTACAGCATTAAAAGGATCGAGGATTGGATCAGCCAAATTGATATTGACAGTGACATCATTGTGGAGGAGCAGGGAGAAAGTTCAAGTTCTGCATCAACAAAATATAGCGAGTCGGTGGTCAGTGTTTCTGCTGTGCGCCCTGATGCTAAAAGTCCTCTTGGCATGGAGATAGCTTACACTTATATTTCAAAATTGACTCCTGTTTCTTCATCTGCACAATTGCCAAACCTTGGTTTGGTTGCAATCCCAAGACTGAGCGCGTTCTCAGGCCTACGGCTGTTGAACTTATCAGGGAATTCAATAGGTGAGTATTCTTCCTATAATTCAGCAGATTAATTATTGCTATTATTGGAATATTCATTTGTTTCAGGAGATAATGTCATCAATTTCTCTAACATCTGGGGTTTTCTGCACAGTGCGCGTAACTGCAGGAGCTCTCCCGAAAGGTCTTCACATGTTAAGCCTGTCGAAGAATAATATCTCGATTATTGAAGGCCTTAGAGAACTAACACGCTTACGCTTGCTGGACATAAGCTATAATAGGATCTCTAGAATTGGCCATGGTATGGTTTTCAACAGCTTTTACTTTCTCCTTATGAAATATGCTTAATTTATGGAGAACTGAGCGCTAGCTTAGTGCTTGGGCCACTGTCTGGTGCTCTGGGCTTGCACGGTTCTGCCGCCAATTACTAGTTAATATGTAGGCTGTCCTGATAATAAATTTAATCATGTTTCCCATCAGTATCCTCTGAACAGAGAAATCACTATGCTCCATGGTCCTTGTTATATTCAATGTTTTGAAGAGGAAAATACAGTCCAGTGCATAACATGGAATGATTTATTCTTAATAAAATTGCACCATACTCTTGCAGTTAATGACAGTATAAAACGAACAGATTTGCTTGCTTCTCATTGATTTATGTTTTGGGACACCTTTTAGGTTTGGCTTCATGTTCTTCTTTGAAGGAGTTATATCTGGCTGGTAACAAGATCAGTGAGGTAGATGGCCTTCACCGCCTTCTGAAGCTAAAAGTTCTGGACTTGCGCCACAACAAGATTTCTACATCCAAGGGCCTTGGTCAACTGGCTGCGAACTACAATTCCCTCGAAGCCATCAACCTAGATGGCAACCCGGCACAGAAGAACGTAGGTGACCAGCACCTGAAGAAGTACCTGTTAGGCCTCTTGCCAAACCTTGCTGTGTACAACAAGCAGCCTGTAAGAGCAACTGGCTCAAAAGAGGTCTCGGACCGTCACACACGCAAGATCTCTTCTTCCCATCGTTCTGACCGCAGTTCCAGATCGGACCGCAAATCTTCCAGGTTGGTGGCTGGCACATCTTCACGGCATGCCCGTCCTGCACATACTTCAGGCCCTTTGGTGAAGCAGTCGAGGTCCCGGAACATGCCAATGGCAGCGCTGGGCTCTAGACCAGTGGAATATGCGGGTGCTGGAGTTCCAGCGAAGCAAATTCAGATGGAGGAAAATTCGCAGTGACATCATCCAAGCAGAGCTGCCTAGCCAGCCAAGGCTTTTGGACAAGGATGTTGCAAGTTTTCCTGTTAAGTTTGTAAAATAATTAAGCTCAAACAGTATGGTGAAGAGCACTTTTCTTATACTGCTAAAGACATGTATTTTTTTTTGTCATAGTACTACGTGGCAGTGTTTTTGAATAAGAGTACACAGGAATGTTGTAAGACAAAACACAAATACCTCTGTGAATTGAATTGGTACCGCCAGTCAGATGTTTTTGTCTAGCGTGTTTTGGTTTGGCTGTTGCTGCAAGCTGAAACCTGAAAGTAGTTTTAAGTTCCCTTTTCCTACCCAAAATCAGGTTGGGGAATCATTTTGCACAGGAAAATACTTTATAGGCACCCACGTGGTTGAGATAATTCTTCAAGCGGTGAATACTTGCACTATTCCTTCAGGGTGGAACGAGACTGCAATTGTGATGATTCCTAAAATAAATTATCCGAAGAAGGTTGCTCAGTTTAAGCTAATTAGTTTGTGTAATGTGGTATATAAGGGGCTACACGATTGAAATTAATCTTACATGAGGTATTAGTAGCTCTACTTGAAGTGATTTTGTCCCCGGATAATGATTACCAACTAGTGGCCTATGAGTGCTATCACACAATTAAAAATAAGAGGGAAGGTCAGGAGGGTATGTGTGCTATTAAGGTGGACATGTATAAAGCCTATGATCGTGTTGAGTGGATTTTCTGAAGGAAATTATGTTGAAGCTCGGTTTTCATACAAGTTTGGTTAACTCAATTATGGCATGCATATCAACTTTAGAGTGTGAGTCCGGTTTAATTCGGAAGAAAGGGAAAGTTTTAAGCATACGAGGGGATTCTTTATTTTCACGTTGCTTCTTGTTATGCACGAATGCACATAGAGTTTGTTGCAATAGTGAAATTCAAAATTAAACTTATACTGGATAGTCGAGACATTAAATCAAAATTAAGGTGACATAAACAAGTGTCAAACACTTGCATCATCATTAATACCAGTATCGATTTGGTTTACTAACTTATTGCTAGCGGTCACTATGTTGACATTATTGGTGACCGTTTTCCCTCTACGGTCTGTATGTTCTAGACACTCCTTGGAGAAGTGTCTGAGCTTTCCACAGGCGTAGCACTCTATCTCAGTCTTGTCATCTTCTTCTTCTTGAAGGTAGTAGTCTTGACTCATGTTGGGCATAAAACCCGAATCCCGAATCCCGAACCTGAAAACCCCGAATAACCTGAACACTATATCGGGGAGCAGATCTGAAAACCCGAATTTAATATGGGTAATTCGGGTAAAAGGCCACGATACCCGAATTACACGAATAGCCCGAACTAATTAGTTAGCCAAGTAAAACATGACGCACACTTGCGCAAAGAAGGCCCAGCCCAAAAGGCTATCGCTAGCCCTCACCCCCTGCAAGCAAACCTAGGTCGAGTGCGTCCCCAACTCCTCCAAATCTGAGCGCCCCTTCCCAGTTCCTAGTCCCCACACCACGCCGGCACGCCCCCATGGTGCCACCCCACCCCACGGCGCCACCCCACTAGCACCGGCGTACTGCGGCCCGTCGCCGGTCTGCATCTGCTCCGCTGTGACAAGCAAGCCTGGAGGCTGCGTTCAGCGGGGCTACGGCACTAGGCCACTAGCCATCATCCATCTCATCTCATCTTCCCCGACGGCACCTCCTCGATGCAACACCACTTGCCCGCTGACCTGCATGACGTGACTCACAACGACCGACGTTGCCCATCTCATTCCATTGTTGCCCGTCCAAATCGCTGCCTATAGTCTTGCACCGCCGACGCCAGCCCCAAATTGCAGTCCATCTCATTCCACTATTGTTGGCACTTTTCTTCACTGTTTACTACTTCGGGTAGTACGGGTATTACCTGAACCCGAACCTGAATTTGCGGTTAGCAAATTTTCTGCACAAATTTCGGGTATCATTTGTGGAAACCCAAAATATTTTTTACCCGAATTACCCGACCCGATTTTGCAGGTAAACCCGAACGCCCAGCGTGAGTCTTGACAGGCTTGTGAGAATAGGCTTGTTGATGCGGAGCATCCTTCCATCATCCCCATGGATTCTACACCAACACATCAAGCCCCACATGGACCTATGACAAGAGCTCGAGCACGCGTAATGGAAACCGAGGTGAACCCCTTCCTACTTGACTTGCACATGAACTCGAATGAGATTAGGTTGCCGCCTCACCAAGATACCCTATGCATCATTAAGTACAAAGAGGGACCCTTCCAAGCAGCTGAGGAACACCACCAAGTGCAAGGAGAACCACCCGAAAGCCGCACGAAGAAGGAAGGAGCCAAACAGCAGCAGTACTGGAAGTCCCAGGCGACCCCGTGCCCACGGGCTACACAGAGAGTTGGTGTTGTAGCACCCCGTGTGCACGGGTGTGTACCGTGCACACGGGACCCCTGTGCGCACGGGCCCAACTAACCTCGTGCGCACGGGCCCTACAGGATGGCCGGCTGATGCGGGTTGTTGGGCCTCCACTTCGCATCCACTTCACCTCCTACCTACCCAAGCTTATATAATTCGTACCTAGGGATATGTTTAGGGTTAGCAAATACATAGATGAGAATTTGAGAGCTTTGCTCCTTTTACCACCTCCATTGGAGATCAAGGCCTCTTAGGAGAGGATCCACTTGTGGATTTCAAGACCTCATCTCTAAGGAGTGGGAAGAACTCTATTATTGTATCTTTCCTTTGATTGTGTTTGTGAACTTGTGGATCTTGTGTTGCTATTCTAGTGGATGTGTAATTGGGTATTATTGGAGTGAATTCCTCTTTGTGTTTCTTGGTGTTCATCCCTTTTCCCCCCTCCAAGTGTGAAAAGATCCATCTTAGGGTTTGTAACGCCCCGAGACCGTTGCGCCAGGTGTCTTCCAGTTATGCGTCGTCGTTGCCATGTCATTCGCTTGCATGTTGCATCTTGCCATGTCATCACGTGCATTACATCATCATGTTTTCAAAACTTGCATTCATCCGGGTCTCCCAGTTCCTTCCGTTGTCCGTTCTGAGCCCAGACACACTTGCACGCGCCCGCGACACGTCTGAAATTTTATTTTATAAGTGGCCGGAAAATATTCTCGGAATGGATTGAAAGTTGACATGCGGTGTTGTTATGTTGTCAGTAGACCGCCTGTCAAGTTTCATCGCATTTGGAGCTCGTTTGATAGCCCAACCGTTAAACATATATCGACACTATAGTCGGTCACACGTCGGACGTTTTCGGTCTCCGGAAACCTTGCCGGGCTGCATTTCCTTCTGTCTCTTCTCAGCCCGAGACCTCTCCTGCACAGCCCACAAACCCCACCTAGTTCCCTCCTCTGTCTGGAACCGCACGATCTTGATCGGAGGCTCCGAAACGCTCCAGAAACCCCCCTAGACCCAAACCCTAGCAAAACCTGTTATATATAGACCCCCTCCGGCCATTTTGGGCAACCTAGACCCAATCCACCTACCTCTAGCCTTCCCCCTCCTCAGATTCCGCGCCTAGCCGCTCCCTCGCCGCCACTTGTCGCGCCAGGTAGGCCAGCCGCCACCCCGCGCCGCCGCAGCCGCCGCCCGCGGCCAATCCGGGCAGGCCACCTGTCCCGCGCGCCTCCACTCCGCCGCCAGCCCGCTCAGGCCCGCAACAGGCCTGCCCGAGCCCATCGGGGTCCGAGGCAGCCCGCCCTGCCGCCAGGGAGATCCCGCTTCAACCGTACCGGACCCCGCCGCCCATCGCGCCAGCCGCTCGCCGCCGACGCGCTCCAGCGCCTCCGCCACCACGCCGTGCGCCGTCCAATCGCCGCCGCTGCCCAGATCGGGTGCCGGGTCGCTGGGATCCGTTCGTCCCGCATCCTCCTCCCTGCCTTCTTGCCGGAACTGCCTCGTTGACCTCGCCGGAGCCCGCCACCTTCGCCGCTCGTCTCCCTGACCGTCCTCGTCGCCAGATCTGGTGCCCTCGCGACACCCCGAGGCCGGATCCGTCGCCTCGCACCCGTTCCCGGCCTCCGTCGCCCTTCCCCATGCTCGTCGCCGGCTGTCGTCGCCGTTGGTCATCGCCGCCCTTGCCTCCCCTCCGGCGGAGGGAGAGGACGAGCGCACCATTGGGCTGCCTCCCTCGCACGCGCGTGGGCAGGCCTCGCCCCGGCCCAGCAGCGCCCCGGCCTGCTTTCCCTCCGACTTGGGCCTTGGCCCATGGTAAGTTACCTCCCCTAGCGCCTGTTCCTGTTGGCCCGACTACAGTTTCAGCCCGACTGTGTTTTTTTTAGTTCAGCGAATTTGTCTAATTATCGAGTGCACTGCAGTTTTCCAGAAAAGCCCTCCAACTACATGCATATAATAACTCATGAACTATGCATCACATGTAAAAACTTTATATATGTAAAATGCTTAGAATTTTGTGTAGTTTCATAATATGCCACTTTCATCTATGTTTAAAATGTTTAAAATGATGTTTGCTTATAATTTGCCATATTGCCATGTTAAAATGCTTTAATTCATAACTAACTAACCGTAGCTCCAATTTAAATAAACTTTATATGTAAATGGGGTAGAAAAATGCCTAATTTAACATGGTGCTTTCATCTTGTATGTTTAACAACTCTAAAATATGGTTTAGGGCAAAACAGTACCAAATCCATAATTTGCATATGGGGATTCTCCGGACTTGTTGTTTGTTGCTCTGACCTCATTTAAACTTGCCTAGTTAAGTAGTTTTATTATGCTTCACCCCTTGCCATGCTAACCAACATTTAATATTGTTGAATACTTAAACGGGAGAGAACTAAATAATTGTTGTGGTGTTTCGTCAATATGCAACTCGTTGCATATTGAGCTCCACTTAACTTGTAGTTTTGCTTGTGCACTTTGCCATGCCATGTTTCATTAAACCGGACATGCATCATACTTGGTTGTGCATCATGCCATGTTTATGTGATGGTTGTTTACTATGTTGTTTGCTTCTTTCCGGTGT